TCCCTTTCCTCATCCTGGTCCAAGCTACAGTAAGTTCTGGCTCTTGAAGCAGGTCTGTAAACCAACTAATTTGTTACCAAAATTATCTGTGCCACACTGAAAGCCAGATTATTCTGCCAACCCTTGCATATAATGCACACAAAAATTAAAGGCATTAAAGGCATAGCCCATGAAGTGCTGTAGATTCTGGACACCTTCTTGGAGGTCAAAATGTCATTTCATGGCCTACAAAGGTAACCGCGGGAGCTAAATTAAGCTTCTGAATGGGGCATGCAAGTCATTAGGAACTGCTCTTTCCCCCTCCACTTCCCTCCTTTCTCAGACTCAAGGGAGCCTGCTTCTTGTTTCTTCAGACAAGCCACCCACTCACAGGATATTCAACCAGAGAGTTTCCATTGCGCACTCTTGGCAGCCTGGTGTTCACCGCAGTGGCTGACCTGACCCACCAGCTCGCCTCGTCAGAGCATCCACAACACAAGCCAGGCTTCGGTTCCTGGGTTATTTCTGCAACAGCAGAGAAGTGAGCCGAGTCCTGCCTTTCTGGGGCTGCTTTGCCTAAACGTCACACCATGTGAGCTGATCAAATGCTTCCAGCCACTCCAGGTGCTCAGGCAGAGCATTTGCCTGGCAATGCACATTGTGTGCTGTCTGCTGTGGATGGGATGTTTACGCAAAAGGTTGGTATTTTAAACAACTAATTTTTTGGACTACAGGCAGCATCTTTTTATCATGAGGCAGACACCACATGATTTTCTGAAAAGACCACAGAGCCTTTGCTGACAGGTTTGACGGAGAAATGGAAGCATGCATGACTGGAAAGTCTGCATTATCATACAGCCAGTGTTCACTGGCAGCTTTCAAGCAGAACCACGAGCACTGGATGGTGGGACATGTGTTTAAGTGCATAGCTCAGATGACAGAGAATTAAGTCTAATAATATCCACATGAGGAAGGGCCAACTTTGCTAAAACTCTCAGCTACCCAGGAGTTCTCCTGGCCCCTATGCAGGCTGACACACAAACAAGATGTGTTCCAGCACTCAAGAATAAAGTAAGATCCTCTGGAAGCAATTCCAGACTGCTGCGGATGTGTGGTTTATGAGCATCAATCGTAATGGCAACAAGCATGTAATACCCCCCCTGCAAAAATCCACCCAAAACGCCCAACTACAGTGTAAAATGCATGTGTTGAGGTAAAGACTCAGGGAGAAAAATCAAGGAGTGAGCTAAAGCTCTCCCCAAAAGCCCTGTGGCACTAACGGCACTGCACTGGTGAGAGCTCCCAGGGCAATTGCTTCAAACATCAAGGTGGAAGTCTGCACCTTGTTAAATGTAACTGTGCTGTTCAGGTTCACATTCAAACTTCCAGTATGGTAGTCATGTGCATGTTTGTTTTCAGATCAGACTCTAATTTATCCCTGCTTCTTCGTCTTTTGGGTTATTCATCTCATCTTGTTCAGGTAAATGGACTTCCTGGTTTACTAGAAGTCATTATTTCCAAGCCAGTCCCTTAAACTACCTTCAGCACCTCAGAAATGTATTACACTTTTGCAAAGTTCTACCTCTAATTTCACCATCTTACATTTATTTGAGCTTTCTGAAACCATATAGTCTTTTTAGCCTGCACAGCCTAAACCTCACAGAATTGCTCTTGCAAACAGACACTGGAGATCCCAGAACCAGCTGCAAGCTCTCGTTTCTGGTGGCTCAGGTCTGAAGACAAGGCATTCTGAGACAGGAATCACGCTTGTGGCCCAGCAAATCTGGGCCACACACCTAGGAAAAGTTTAACTCCTTCCTTTGATATTGCTTCTCACTACCATAGTACCAAGCAAATCAGATAAAGTTAACAACAAATGAAAAAGCAGGAGCCATGTTACTGCTCCACCTGCTTAGAGACCGGCCAAGATGTCAGTGCTCCAGATGTACCGCATAGCTGGATATTAAAATGTAGCATCACTTCATTTCTATTTCACTAAACAGGAGAATGGTTATTGCCTGATCCTGCTTATAGTGAAACAACAGAAATGTCAGTAGAGGAGGACTGGGTTACCAGAATTTAATTTCATTGGAATGGCTGGACTTGAACAGCACTCAGGTTGGATAGAGAAACTGTGACAGGTAGGGAGAAACAGAGCTTTCTTCCCCTGTTACGCAGCAAATATAAATGAAGTGTTTACTGCACAGCACAGACTCTTGTGAACCAGGGCATTTTAGTTCAGAAATCATTTTAAATTGAAATCATGGCTTCCCTTTTAACTGGATTTTTGAACCATTTAATGGAGGTCTTGCACGTTCCTTGGCTCAGAAAGGTGCTGTGCTAGCAGATGGGGCAGAAGCACGACTCTGAGCCCTGAGTTGTGCTACCTATTGATCCTCATCAATCCAGCTTTAAAAACGCATCCCGTCGTTCAGACTGGGTATCAACAAGAGCCAAATGTAGTAGTACTTACAGAATCACAGAATGGTTTGGGTTGGAAGGGACCTTCAAAGATCATCTAGTCCAACCCCCTTACCATGGGCAGGGACATCTTTCACTAGATCAGGTTGCTCAAAGCCCCATCCAACCTGACCTTGAACACTTCCAGTGATGGGGCAGCCACAACTTCTCTGGGCAACCTGTTCCAGTATTGTGTCCCCACCATCAACATAAAAAAATTCTTCCTTATATCCAACCTACTTGATAACTGACTATGTGCTTTTGGTGGTAGATGCTAGTCACATGTTCGAGGCTGAGACTGTGGGGAGTATGGTGACACCGCCGGTGCACATGGGCACACCGGGTTGAGCAGCTGCAGTGTCTCCCTGTGCGCTACTTGTGCACTTTTGCCCTGTGCTGCCACGCACCGCATTTAGAGTGGTCACTGCTAAAGCTGAAGCTATTGTGCTTCAGGTGATCAGAGCACACAGTAAAAACAGTGATAATTACTAGCAGGAGGGTAGCCAGACAATGTGCCAAAGAAAGGGGGAAATACATAATAGGAAATTTATTTTAGGAAGGCTCTTGGAAAGAAGAGTATTTTCTTTCCTTTGTATATACCGAATAGAAGAGGTTTTAAACAAAGCACGGATTTCGCATGTCTGCTGAAAGAAGTCACCAAAGACCTGCCTAGAAACAACAGTGAAACAAGATTGTACCTTTTAAGACAACATCAATGACGCGACCGTCTGCTCTGATTGTCTGTTCTCATGTGAAAAGCGCTCGTGTCACACTTGTAGAGGTGCGCGTGAATGCGACGCCCCTGTACTGACTTTTAATCCTACTGCAGTCCACAGCTGGCTTCATTTTCTCGTGGAATAAAGAGAAATGAAACTCGAAACCAATTTCACCAGTTTTAAGGCATGAACTGTATTACTTGCCATTGCTTTGCATTTTGCAAGTAGAGTCCCCATGGAAAGATTTTTGCAGTAAATAAAAATGCTCTTTATCAGCAGTTAGCTTAGGTATCTGACATTTCAGTAACCTCAATGCAGGCAGAGATCAGCCCAGAGGAAGTCCTGGATGTGCAGGAAAACCTCCACCTGGATGACATCTGTGCACAGCGGCTTCTCCTAGCGCCTCACTGACGGGCCATCAAGAATCTTTCCCTTAAGTAGCCAAAAGCGGTGGCTGCTTATCTCGCCTCCCAGATGGGCTGAGCAGGAAATCTCACCAGAACAAGTTCACAGCCAGGCTTCAAAAGCCTACCTGGGGGCTTCAGATTACATTTCAACACACTCTGTAAGTTCTTTGTGTGGTTTTTATGCAAACCATGGGAGAATCTTTACACACAGAAGAAGCATAGGAGAACTGGTGTAAAACACATCCCCCACAAAAATCTTGTTTCATGTAGGGTTTACTGTCATAGGCTCTGTCCTAGAGACCACAAACACATAAACATGGGAGATTATGTTCTTCTTCTCTGGTTAAGATGAATGAGATCAACAAAGAAAGACTTAATTATAACCTGCATTTCCACAAAGGAACAGAGGACATTTTCAAGCAAAAAGGGTGGTTTTGCAGACATATCACCAGGAAGAGGAGGTATTTGCTTGGAAATTTTGGAAAAACCACTTCTAGCCTGTTTTGCAAAAACACGAATATCCTCTTCTCAGTTGAATGTCATTCTTGACTTAGTCCACCTCTTACTGCCGACTCCTTTCCTTCTCACAAGATATCAAGAACTAATGAGACAGAATTTTAAATAAGGGAGAAGATAAAAGCCTAACCCACCCTTTATGTTTTATAGATTTACAGTATATAGGTGTAATTTTAAGTATCAATATGAGGACAGAGATTATTTAAACCTCTCAACTATCACAGGCTCTTATAAACTTTGAAGACCTCATAGATACAGATAAAGCTACTTGCTGCTAAACCCACAGGCTAGACCAGCTATAACTTAGGGCCACATTTAGGGTAAGAGCAATTAAGACACAAATGAAATTCTCCTTCATAGTGACACTGAAAAAAAAGCACACGTATAATACGAACACACATCATGCTGTCTGTGGCTCTGCATGCCATATTTTTGAATGAAATAAATTATTAAAAAATTAATGTACCTTCATTACTTATTCTGCTCTGCATTCATTCTTGTAATTAAGAACATTGGCTAGACTAAACACAGTGATTAAAACAGCGCACCAACTGTGCGTCTAAAGAATATCTAATGTTTTCCAGTGCTAATTTTTTTATATTCAGTAGTGGCACTTAAGAGATATTGTGTCACTACTGAGTAAGTTTATTACAGTTTCTTTTCTACCACATCTTTTTAACATGAATTGCAAACAACATCATCCTGTTTTGAGACTCTGGATCTATTGATCAGAATAGATTTTTGGTATACCCTTTGTATAAAGAAATGCTCGAGTTAGGTTTTCTAACATACTTAAATGACAGTGCTATTGATGAAACACAGTTTGTAAGGGAAATACAAGAGACTCTGTGGTTAACAGGTAAACTTCTAACTTAAGTCATGCACAAGGTATAAAACAGGTCTCTGAAAAAAATGCACTTACCTGGTATGTAAACAGCTCTACACTTGATGATTTACCTAATTTTCCGTTGATGTTAACTTCAATTTGACCTTGTTTTGCTTCATTCATTGGTCCAACTTGACATACAATCCTAGCAAGAAAGAATGTAAGTTTATCTGTTAGAAGTAACAGCTGCGATACCAATGCAATGTATATGAGCTACCACACGCACTGTCAGCAAAAGCGCTAACTTCACTTTATCCTACACAAGTACTTGAACGCTGCCTCAGATTACCAGCAAAAACATGCAACAATAGTTTAATCTTCTATCTAAAGGTAGGTAAAGCTGAAACCTGAGCACTGTACACAGCAACTGCTTAGGAGTCAGTTAGTAGAGCTGCCTTCTACAGAAGACTCAAATTCAGCCCAGAAGTCAGAGATGAACCTCTTCAACCCTACACAAGGTTTTCACTGGACTTGGTCATGTCAGAAAAACAAAGGACCTCCCTACACACCTTGATGTAGGAATCAGACCGTCAGCTATCTTATAACTTTGTCTGTTTTAGCTGCTGATACTTTTGTTGTGCATCCTGCTATCTTTCAGCTTTAAGCTACTGTATTTTCACACCTACGATCAAAATCCCTTTAGAATTACTGTTCTCTGAAAATAAATCCTCAGATAACCCCCACAAAATCAGAGGTCAAGGAACACTGGCTGAGAAAACAGTGCCTTAGCTAACACTGCTGCTGAGTGATAGCACGGATGTTTAAATTTTTATTTCAAATAGGTGATCCTCAGAATATAAGCATGAAAATGCAATAAGGATTCGACACACTTGAAAACTGGGACAAATGCTTAATGCAGAGCTGATAATACAGCTAGATAAGGACGTATACAATGTCTGCAACCTGCACAGGCAGACAGTTTCATATAGGACACACCCTAAGGATCACTGATCATTTCCTTTGCGCTTTCCCTCCAGCATTATTGCTATTCTTCCTTAAGCAGTGCATAACTGCTTTAAAAAAAAAAAAAAAAAAACCTCAAATAGAAAAAAAACCCCACAACAACCCCAAACTACTGGGTATAATGTACTTAAATTGGGACTTATAATAAAAGGATTGTCCAGTCCCTCTGCAGATCACTCCAGACTTTTCTGCCTGGGTACTGGCAAATGGACAAAATTCTCTAAATTCTTGCATGTCCTGGCATGTGTACGGCTGCCTGAGTCTGTTCCTCATCATCCCTCTACTGTATTCTTGGAAGTTGTATCTTCTTGTCAGGCAGAAACAGGAAACGGTGTCTTTGGAGGAATTTCTACCATATGTCAAACTGGGGAAAGCAGTTGGGGGCCGGGACCAGGGGGTGTGCGGGAGGGAAATGCCGTAGTGTGGTTAGCAGGGATTTTAATTGAGAAAAGTTCCCTCCCCTCCCCAGCATTGGAATTGCCTCCCTTCCCCCACAGTACTAATGGAAAACTACAAAGAATGAGAACACGACTTCTCAAAGGCCAACAATTAAATCACTGCAGAGCCACAAAGCAGCCTTAAGTGTCTTAAATTTTGCTGCAATCCTGCCCATGGAAGCAACTGTCTCCTAAAAATGACTAGCTTTTTACTGCAGAAGGATATGGGAGCAAGACTAGGCACTTTTTTTAAAAAAAAAAAAAAAAAACAAAAGAAGGTAATAATAAAGCAAAGAATGGAGGAAGATAAAGACAGAAAATTATATATACCTATTTGGAGATTTTTAATAACTTCTTTTTCAAGGCTTCCCTAATGGAGAACATCCTTCAAACCCCCCTAATTTGTTGATAAATGACATTATGCAAGTTGCATTTGTTCTCACCCATTACCACGCTGGCAGAGCTTAGGAAACCAGTAATGTTGCTATGATACAAGGAACCAGTCATCTCAGTTCTGGCTCCTTTCCATGTATTTAAAAATATCAAGAAGCTTTAGAAAAAGCCAAGAGGCTGGGGAAATTCTTGTAAGGCTATGCTGTAATTCAGTGCAGCTTTTGCAAATGCTGAAAATAGGGAATGGGAAAAGATGACTGTAAAAGAATTGGGAATTTTGTGGATGGTGATGCACATGTAAATGCACGAGTGATGGCAGTGGATTTGGAAAGCAGGAAGAGATATACAGCTATATACACATTCTTAAGTCCTAGGGGCCTGGGAAGCTTCTAAATGCCTGATCCAGAACCTAACTAAAGCTAAACATTTTTCAAAAGCTAAAAAAATCACTTGGGTATCTTCAAAATCTCTTTCAAAACACACCACAGAAATAGCAAAAAGTTACTGTATTACACTTTAACTGAAGGGAAAGAAAGCCAAGGTTTCAACTGCAGCTTTAAATATCAAAAGTGAATGAAAGAAAAATCACACTGTTTAACATATGTCATTACTCTTAATATTACTACTAAACCTTCATGCTATGCTTTTTATCAGCTAATATCAAAAGGGTATTTCCCTGTTGAAATTAGATGCTTGATATAATCTGTAGTAAACACCTAGACACCTAAAAGAATTTAAGCACTTTGTTTTAATTTTTGGCAATGCTTAAGAGTGTGACAAGTAATCCGCAAAACATCTACCAACCTGCTTAGGCAATTCAACATCCATGGACTTGTTGGCTCTGCGATGAAACTTAGTCATCTAAAGCTAAACCAAAACTCTGGGCTCCCTCCCTGCCCCCAGGAAAGAAACTTTGTGGCTGGACTAAACCAAAAAGATTTAAGCTTTCTCTTGCTTTGCCTACTTTCCCATAAATCTTGTATGCTTGGCTGCACTGTGGTTCAGATTTAGCAAAGATTTTAATGATTAGATGCACACCTACGATGCCTTTAATTTAAAACCAAATAAATAGTCTTGAGATACCTGCAGTAATAGTTTACGAAAGCTTTTCAAACAAATAAGGAAAAAAAATTCAACCAATACAGAAGCAGGATGGTAGTATGCCATTGTAAATTTATTGCTGTATCAGAATCTATAACAATTTTAAATAAAGACTCAGACATGTTACTGTGAAATATTGCGGGTATATCTCACTAGTTCTTTCTTGTATTGATAATCTTTTATAAGCACAGGAAGATCATCTTCTCCTGAAAATGCACAGAAGTTCCTTTTTTCTTCTAAAATCTTGTGAAAAATATCAGCAATTACCTTGTGGAAACAGAGTAGAATTCCTTTTGGAAAAGACATTCCTCGCCTGCCACCGTTATATTTTTTACGTCTTCTGCTTTTATTCCCAAATTAGAACCCATTATGGTCAAAAGAATTCCACCACTTAGTGGTCCAGTTTTTGGCTCAATCTGTGTTTGCATGAGGGAAAGTAAAAAAAAAGCAAAATTAAATACTGCAGTGACCATGTTGCTCTTCCATATTATTTAAAGCTACTTTGACTTACCTGTGCTTGAAATGCAAAAAGATGTTTCTTGCAGGACCCCCGCAAAAACATGCTATGTAACTTTTTAATGTTAATTAATCATCTGCTTGCTCAGAACCAGTATTCATCAGCTGCAGATTTCGCATCTCCTGTGGCAGACTGTTATGTACAGAACCCTTGCCTGGTGTTTACTCTGGTTTAAGTTTGCTTCCTCCACTAAAGCACTGTGATTTTGAAAAGCAAATGGATCTGGCTCTTCTCACAGTCATTCCACAGAGCTTTTCTAGCATTTTTTTTTGCCATGATTTTCTCCCCTTAGGTCCACCTCAGAACACTGCACCTTCCTAACACACAGTGCTGCCCCACATAGTGTCTTCAAAAGTTCCTCTAGTCCCCTGATCTTCCTTACTGCATCTCATGATGCTAACTAAATAATTTGCAATTAAAATGAGGACTGAGAAAATCCTGCAGTTGCAGTGGACTTCTCAGGTTGAAATATGGCCCGAACAGGCACTTGAATTCCAAGTATTTGTTGGGAGACTAATCTGCTTTCCTATGTAATATTTGGAGCACCTCCAGCAAGATCTTTTCAGGTCTTCAGCTTTGGAGGGCTGCAAGTTTTCCATCAAGAAGAGGGAGGTTGCACAGTTCCATATGCAGTAATTGGAAGCCAAACAAATACAGCTTCTGAAAGTCTGGACTTTAATGTCTGCTCCATCAAAATCAGAATTTCTTAGATCTGAGCAAGCCTGAGCACAGAGACATGGCTGCTGCTGCCTGCTGCCCAGCCCAGCTCCAGAATCACTTGCTCTGTTTTCCCACTGGTTCAACTTTCTAAAGCTTCTGCCTGCTGGACCATCACTTTGCACTCAACCCATAAATACACTAGCTGAAAAATGACTCAAGGGTTTGTGTAAATGTTTCCAACTACTTTGTTCAAATCTGAAGCTAACAAAAGCTTCGAAAAAACTAGTATTTTAGTACTTAATATTTAATCCACAATCATGTACAAGCAGTATCCCAGGTGAAAACACTTTTTCTTAATTTTCCTTTTCTTTCCCACTCAAATTGTCTTTATCTGGGCCAGCTATCACACAAGTATTCTTCTCCACACTTTCTGTCGAGATTTCAGGGTATTTGCCCTCCTTGGCAGACTTCAACTGTTTACCCACCATTTCTTCTTAGATATACCATCATGGCTGTCCTGGTTTCGGCTGGAATAGAGTTAATTTTCCTCCTAGTAGCAGGCATAGTGCTGTGTTTTGGATGTAGTATGAAAAGAATGCTGATAACGCACTGATGTTTTAGTTGTTGCTAAGTACTGCTTATGCTAGTCAAGGACTTTTCAGCTTCCCATGCTCTGCCAGGTGCACAAGAAACTGGGAGGGGGCACAGCCAGGACAGCTGACCCAAACTGACCAAAGGGCTATTCCATACCATATGGCGTCATGCTCAGTATAGAAACTGTGGGGAGCTGGCTGGGAGCAGCGATCACTGCTCGGGGACTGGCTGGGTATCAGTCAGCGGGTGGTGAGCAATTGTATTGTGCATCACTTGCTTTGTATATTATTGCTACTATCATTACTATTTTACTTTATTTCAATTATTCAACTGTTCTTATCTCAACCCAGGAGTTTTCTCACTCTTACTCCTCCGATTCTCTCCCCCATCCCACCAGGGCAGGGGGAGTGAGCGAGCGGCTGCGTGGTGCTGAGTTGCTGGCTGGGGGTAAACCCCGCCAGGGGCCAAACCCCTCCCTGCTGCCGGTCTGCCTGTACCCACACTGCACCTCTAACTGCGCAGCCTCAGGAGATTCAGCATCTCTACCAGTTTGAGCCACAGGTTTCAGAATTAAACAGTTCCTACTGAGTGAAACACCCCTGTTACGACTCTCAACCTCTGTCATACAGTTACCACATTTTGTGATAGCTTGGGATATGTTCTCATCAAACGGTGTGTCTGAGTTTCAAAGTACTGATACTACTGTCGCAGCAATTTAGATTTGCCCAATGGAAGTATATATCACTCTTTTCTCGACAATTATGCCCAGAAAAACAGCATTTGGCTTGTTGCTGAAAAGGACAAGGATTTATCAATTCTCGCTTTGGCTACTGGTCCATCAAGGTGGACAACGCTCTTACCTTGCCCTAGGGGAATGCTCCCACCACAGAGAAAGTTGAGGGTGCACATTTGGCCTCTCTGACTCCTTACATTCAACTTCTACAGCCTTGGGTTTGATTCCGGTGTGGACTGGAAAATATCACTGACACCTGGAAAACACATTGTAAATGCAGAAACAACCTGCTCCCTTATTAAATACTATTTAAAAGTCTAGTTTGAAGCTGGTTAATGAGCCTGCAAGTGCTTGTAGTTCCAGGAGCACTGAACCTCTCTTACAGACTTATTTCTGGTAGAAAAGACTTCAGGAGAGAAAAAAAATCCATGCTAATTCCCAAGAATCAAGTGCCACGTTTAAGCGTACACTGCTAGCCTGGCTTCTGGCACAGTGAGGACAAGGCTTGAAAAACAAGGAGTCTCAAAGACTCCATTCAGTCTCTTATTTTGAGTCTTTACAAATCTCTCACACACATCACTACTGGCATTATTTCCTTGCAGCTATTTCAGAGGCTTACTTAACACCCTAGGAAAAAACTGCCTTTCCGTATGAACTTGCTTGGATGCCTTCTCCTGAAAAATAATACACTGGTAGGGAGAGAAAAAAGCAATCTTACGCGAGTGATTTCTGGATGAGGACATGTGTTGGTGGGAGAAACGTGACAGAGTTTTTCATAAACGCACTTGCTGGGCTTGCCATCTTCTTCACACCAGACACACTTATAGTCGCTATGGGCCGCGAGACATAAGCTGCAGTCGCTTCGTCCATAAGAGCAGTTGTACAGAGTCACTGAAATATGAATGGTAAAGGCACTTAGACATTTTCCTGTTTTAAGGATATTCAGTGTGTTATAGGAAGGAAAACTAATCCTATGTACAAAGCCTGCCTGTTGCTCAGTTGAGTCATGTGAAGAATATGCACGCTGTGTACTTAACCCCTGAATGATGCAGAGAGAAAACCGTATTTTTCCCTGTATGGAAAAACCTGAAATCTATCCATGTGCAGAGTATGAATAAACTATCAAGTAGAACCGAAACACATTTTTGTCACTCAGGCATTGTCAAAATGTTTAAGTACGAAGTCCTTTCTTTGACTATCCTCAATGAACCTGCCTATAGAACTGTTCAAAGACTAGTTCAGACAAACAGGTCCTCCTGGCGCACCAGGAGTCAGATGTGGAAGGGTATAAACTCTGCATGGGTGTCGGTAGGGACAGACATCAGCTGGCATGGGACCTCTGCCAGCTGCATATTTAAAGGAAGAGAGCTGCCTTTGTTGGCCGTTTCCAGGACATTTGGGCCTTTCCAAAATCATTGCTAAAGCCTGAACTGAACAGAAAGTTAACAGTTACTGAAGTGTTATCCTTTGTTCAAGTTAATACCTCTTCATTTCTCCATCCTCCTCTACTTTCTTGCTTTTGTTTTCCCTTTTGTCTTGAATTGCCATCCTGATGTATGCCTTATTCCTTCTGTAGTGGGGTTTAATTCTAGTTTTTCTGAGCCAAGAAATCAGGTCTGACAGTCATGCCTCTCTTACTGATGAACCACGCACCAACTGTCCCAGACACTAAGCTTGTTTTGGCTCCCATCAATCTCTAGCATGATGCACAGTCACTGAACAAAATTAACTTTCCCAAATAGATGCAAAGCCTTGAGACGTAGCTGGGTGGTTCAGCACCATAAGCAAAGCCTGGGCTTGCAAGAAAACATTTGGAGATGCACTTGAGAGCTAGCCCAGAAGACGACAGACTGAAAAGATGCCACACGTTTCTCTAGTGCAAGCGTGCAAGTTGCATAGATTACTCAGTGCCTGAGTGCTGTGCTTCCCCGGGAAGGTGAGACAATTATTGTAAAGAGGGGAACTTCTTGCTCCCTCTTTTTCTCCTCCTTCCTTTCATCCCTGCTTCTCTCTGTTTCTGGCTGCTCTTCTTTTCTGGCCACACGGCCTCACCCTCTGCCACCAAGGCTCTGGCACTTGTTGAGTCTTCTTGCAAATCAACTTTCCAGAACAGCAGAAAACTATCCAGGTTTCCTCCTGTGGTCTTTCAAGAGTTAAATGTGCTCACAGATGGGAGTGGGGAGTACAAGACAGAGACCAAACATCTCCCCTTTCCAGTAGTGAAAAGCTGTTTTATGTGCTCATTAAGTCTCAAGAAATGGTACCCTTTGTGACACTGGGCTTTTTTCAAAGGAGTTTCATCCTTAAAGATGCAGGAAGCAAAGCAAAGTAAACAGAGGTGATCAGATGTGGGCAAGAGAGACTACGATAAACCCCTTTGAGACTGCATATGGTAAAGGCCATCAAAAACATCTATTTAAAGAAAGCTTTTATTCTCAGAGGAGCAGGACTCTAGGAAGGACACCAGTAAAAGCACCCTCCAGTCACTAACATTTCAAGGCACTTGATATCTTCCTAGATAACAGCGGCAGCAGTAGCTTTTTAAATCTAATTCCAAGAGGCTACCATGTCAGATACCTACTGAAATGAAAAAGTAAAATGAGAATGCTGGTTTTCCATTATTTTTCAGCAGTGCCTTATTCCCCTGCCATGCATGAACAATATTACAGATGCCCAAAACTTGGCTACAGTCTCTCTGCCACTTGCATGAGAGCATACAACCTCATAAGGGCACTTTTTCTCTAAATGATGCATATTTTAAAACCTCAGCATTCAGTTTCACAGCTAGTCTTTAGCAGAATAACACATTTTTTTTTCTTTTCCTTACACTGAGGAGTTAATGTGATGATGAAGGCTGGTTTTAACCCTTCTTACATCTAATCAGCATATCCACTTGATTTCAAGTAGCTCTACCAGCACAAGCTCAGTCGAGACATCACTGGAGGTGTATGCAAAGCTGAGGGACTTTGGCATTTGTAAGAATGAATCGATGAGAAAGAGCATCCATTTGATTCAACCCCTATCTTGAATTCTCAGGAAATCGATGAGCACAAAGCAGGAGTAGCATCATTTGCTTCATACACTGAGCACATCAATACAGATGTCATTGAGCAACAAATATAACGCAAGCAATATTTTCAACAGTTTGTGTATTAACTATTCACTCTGTATGTTGGATGTGAATGTAATGCTGGGGAAAAGCACCAGACTGACAGCCCTGGTATGTTGCTGTTTGCTTTTATAAGCAGAAGAGATGGTGTGGGCAGCGGCAAGGAAAAGTTTCCTCGTGTCTACGCTGCAAATTGCTTTTGCAGGAACCAGATTGCTTTCTTAATCCAGCACTCTGAAAGGCTGCTACTGCACAGGGACTTGAGCAGGTAATATTGTCAAACAAATCTTCCTCTTGGCTTCCTAAACCCTGCATTTCCCACCCACCCTGCCACATGGCCACCTGATAAAGCATGGGAATATGCTTATTGAATTACTTTGTTATCCTGCATTGGCTGGACAGGGATTTTCATCCCATCCCTCAGTAAACAATGTTAGCGCTGCAACATCTTGATGTCCCTCACATCCAGTTGCATAAATGCAATGGAGAAATCTACGGCCTTAAAGCATTAAACACTCCCCCTGTTCACTGATCAGCTCATTAAATGTACCAGCAGCAAGCCACTCATTAGATTCAGACTCTTATCCATCACCTTGAGATACCAGCTGTGAAATCACTGATAAAAAGGACAAAGGATAAAAGGGATATATTGGATTTCATACTGTTCAGAACCCCTGATGGCTTGAGATGTAAAAACGCTATCGTAACTTAGTATTCACTAAGTGTTATACAAAGAAAGGGTTCTTTCACTGGCAGGTTCAAAGGTGCTTCTCAGCAGCAACTATATACCCAAAGCCAATTCTTTTCAAGATGCATAAAAAACATTACACTCTGGATTTCATATGGCAGGGAAATCTAAAAGCAGGAGAGAATTTGGATTAAAAAAAATCCCTTTTATAAGAAAAAGAGACATTTGTTGGTAATTTTTCAATTCCCCTTCTGCAAGGGCTCTATATTTCAATTTAAATTATAACATTGCTTTAATAATTTAGCTACTTTTTTTTTCCATGTTTTTCCCAGACTGGGAAAAAAGATGGTGGGGATATTTGGTCAAAATTCTGCAGTTTTAAACACCACAACCTTTGGAATGCAAATTAAAGATGGTGTGAGATTGCAATATGACCTCCCCATAACATTCATGCCAGGTCCTCTTTTAAGTGCTTTCAACACTGCACACAGAGCTGTAAGAAAAATATTCTAAAAACATACTTCTATGCTGTCAATAAGAAAGGGAGTAAATTTAAATATTGTACAGATGGAAAAATATGGTCTGATGATTTAATCTGCAGGGGAAATTACTTGGGGGCAGTATTAGTTTTCCTGACGTTGACTCATCACACAAGTAACAAGTGTGTTGCCTGGCAGTTTTTGCAAGATTATGCCTTAAACTTCAGTCCAAAGGAGTGTAAGGTATGTCCTAGCTCCCAGATACTGCTCCACTGATTTTGATGGAGCTTCCTCAGCTCAGGACTAGGCTCACAGACATAATTGCTTCATTGTTGTAGATTGAAAAAAATAAAAATAAAGAAATAAGCAATTTATATCAGAGACCAAGTCTTTGTGCTATAAAACTTAATATACTTTTTGTTGCCATAGAAATTAATGAATAAAGTAATCAGCTGAAAGCACGCTGAATGTTTCTGTGTATTGCTGATCGCCAGCAGATGTAAAGACTTCAGAACCTGTCTGAGCTGAGATCCAGCTGAAAGTTGAGATTTCAGGTGAGGTCCATACAAGTGGCAGTGAGAAGGGTCCCCTTTCTGCTATCGGAGGGGGCAAGTTCATTGGGGAAGGGGAAATGGCTGTTGAAAAAAGATAGATCAAACTACTTAAGTACATTTGAACTGTGAAGCTTTGCAATTAAGATTGCCCTTCAGAGCAAAAGCAAACTTGAAAATAATGGTAGCATATTTAAAACAGCCTTTAATACATACAACACTGATGTTTAATTCACGAGTTTAGTATTAATAACTTCTGATCTGTCAGATTTAATTGTTTCACCCAAACGAGTAAAACCTACAAAGGTAACATTCTTATTCACATGACTCCAAATTATGAAGGAATAGATTTCTGTTTACTGTAATTAATCTCTCTTTAATCCCATATTTCATACTTACCCATCAGTTTGCTGTCAATCTGGACCTTATCTGTTTTTATGGATAAGTTAAGTTGTACGGTTTCATTTGCACTATAGGAGAACTGGAAAAGATGACACAATAGAGATATTTATACCTTCATTTGGCAAGGTTATTTCACGCGTTTTCTATGATTCAATAATCAGAGCTGCGAAGGTTTTAGAAACTATCCCAAACCTTATGGTCTTTTTTTCATCTTGGCCAAATACATTTATAGAAAAATGTTTTAATGAACCTAATCCTTCACAATCAGAATTTTCAAGTATCAAGGGACAGCAGTATCTGAATACCGCTTTTCATTAATTTAATTTACATTTGGTTATAAGTATCCAAGTAGCAAAGCTACTGTTCAGATTCAGTAAGTATAACTGCCGACCCTGCTGAGTTCTCCCTTCCCACACCATCTGGCCCCATTACTTCTGTGGACACGGCAGACTCGCACCACATGGAGGGGAAATCTCTTGCATCTTTTGCAGTGCAACCCCCTCGTTATAGCCAAAGCACAAGGTTCACATGCTCCAAGATACGAGCTTCTGCTCAGGTTGAAAGACAGCAGCAATAACAAACGGTGGGAAAGAAAAAGAGCAAAGAAAAATACAGTGGCTTTATAAAGCAAATGCTTTGTGCTAGGCTCAAATGCTGCATAAATGCTAATTAGTTCTCAAAACTACTTTGTTAGTAAGCTTATAAGACATAAAGGTTCAAGTCAGCATAACATTTGTGAGTCCAACTTTGAGCTTGGTAAACAGACTATTTTTTTAAATATTATTTCCTTTCCCTGTAAAATAAACCAGAGTGAAAGAAGCACAGCTAGTAAGTAGCCAAACAACAGCATACTGTTACCATTCCCATTTTTACAGATGTAAAATGGGAAAGACAATGAATTGGAGAGGGAGACCTCTGAAATTCTCATCTTCTCTCCTCAATGATTTAATGAGATTGCATAAAAAGTGAAGAATAAAAGAGGAATGGTCCTGAATTCCTCCAGGGACAGTTCAATGAATCCATGGATTGCACAGATACAGAAATCAAGGAGAAAGATGGAGGGCTTTGAGGGGAGACCCCAAGAGCTCTAAGCCATAGCTGCTGCCTTTGACTACTACTGCCAAAGGAGAATCTCCATCAGAGCTGACTTTCTTCTCTGAGGGAAACCAGTATTACCCCTATATTTCTGGACACATGTGGACACTGGAACTATAAGAAGTGATTATATTTGGTAGTTGAATCATATTTTTGCATTTACCTCTTTACTCATGAATGAAAAATTTCCTTCATGTGATTCATCAACAGGAGCTTTGAATTCAAATTGGCTGTTCCCAACCACAAATTTTTTACCCTATGGAAGAGAAAAGTTCAGCTTAAAATTTGTACAGTATCACCAAATGTAATAAAATATCACCAGGCAATATCCTGTTCAGCACAGGAAGTAATAAGACCAAATGGAGAAGGCTAACCTGTTAAAGTCATCCCCTGAAAACAAAGCTAGTGAAACATCGAGCCAGCGCAATCTGCTGCTTTGCTGCACCCTTCCAACATTCATTAAAGGTGGAAGCACTAGAGCAGTACAAATAAAGCAAGAACGTATCTAGCACTCTGTTTCAGGGAACAATAAGAAAAAGCCAAGAGATGTGAATACTGGATGGCTTCACACATCAGATGTGTTATTAACAGAGCTGTGTGAGTTTTGCCCTTTAAAGTTTTCTCTGTAGGGATCCTGGGCAGAGCAAGAATGCAAGAATTACATGGGAAACCGGAACAAACATCTCGCAGGCCTTGCTGGCTTTGTTTCTCCTGTTTTACCATAACTCAAGCTGTATTTTCACAGGACAGTCTTTGATGGCAGCACCAGCTCAAGGGTATTCCTACCACCTAGACACCTTCTTCCCCCTCTCTTCTCCCTAGGCCCTAAATCCATTCATTCCTGCCTTTAGGCTGCAGCACATACTGACCTGCACTGCACTGGCGAAACTCTCAGCTCGGCTGTTGTCTGATCCAATTGAGGAACTGAGCTGGCTAAAATACAAACACATCACGCCATGACACTGTTTCTATGCTGGGTCATTCTTCTGCTCTGGCCCACAGCACAGCTGTGCAAACAGCTTTGCCAGAAGAACCAAAGAAATAAGTAGCAAGGATATTTTCAGGCAGTACTGTTGGTAAAGACTTATGAAATCAGGGCCCACTGGGGGACAAGAACACCTTCACCTTTTCAGAATCACAGAATGCCTCAGTCTGGAAGGGACCTTCAAAGATCATCTAGTCCAACCCCCCTGCATTAGGCAGGGACATCCTTCACTAGACCAGGTTGCTCAAGGCCCCATCTGACCTGACCTTGAACACTTCCAACGATGGGGCAGCCACAACTTCTCTGGGCAACCTATTCCAGTGTCTCACCACCCTCACCGTAAAGAATTTCTTCCTTATACCCAATCTAAACATACCCTCTTTCATTCTAAAACTGTTGCCCCTTGTCCTGTCACTACAGACCTTGGTAAAAAGTCTCTCTCCACCTTTTTTATAAGCCCTCTTTATATATTGAAAGGCTGCAATAAGGTCTCCCTGGAGCCTTCTCTTCTCCAGGCTAAACAATCCAACTCTCTGAGCTTTTCCTCATAGGGCAGGTGTTCCAGCCCCCTGATCATTTTTGTGGCCCTCCTCTGGATCTGCTCCAACAGGTATTTCTTGTACTGGGGACCTCAGAGCTGGACGCAGTACTCCAGGTGGGGTCTCATGAGAGCAGAGTAGAGGGGCAGAATCACCTCCCTTGACCTGCTGGCCACGCTTCTTTTTATGCAGCCCTGGATACGGTTGTCTTTCAGGGCTGCAAGCGCACATTGCTGGCTCGTATCTAATTGTTCATCCACCAGCATCCCCAAGTCCTTCTCCACAGGGCTGCTCTCAATCCATTCATCCCCCATCCTGTATTGATATTGGGGATTGCCCTGACCCAGGTGCAGGACCTTGAACTTGGCCTTTTTGAACTTCATGAGAACTTCACTTTGATACCTTCTGTGGATGTAAAGAACTAGTCCCTGCTTTTGCCCAGGACTGCTTGAGTCTTGGAGTAGATGGAAAAAAAAAAAAAAAGATTACTTGATTCCTCTTTCCTGCTTCAAGGATTAGTAAGTTATCTCCTGCTGTCATCTAAGACTTGTGTATGAGGATCTTATCCTGTTTATTTGTAGCTACTTCTCCAATGGTGGAATCACTGGTAACTCATGGGCCACTAGGCTTATCTAATTAGTGCAGTGGAAACTTTTCCTATTGTACCTTCACTGTGACAGGTTGGGTAGCAGACACAAGAGCCCACCAAGGTTTGGGGCTGAGGAGGAGCACACGCTTTAACCAGGTAAAGGGCCTGACTCCAGTCTCTGGGAGGTTTATGTTATAGGGGGGAACAGACCTTTTACTTCTTCCTTCTCAGAAGCTGCATACAGAAAATAAGCTACTGACTGAGCTTTGAAAAGCTTTTTCTGAAAGTTTTACAGCCCATTCTGCTTTACAGAAAATGCCTACATACTCCAAGTTTTAAAGTATCTTACAAATCTCTTTTCTGAGGAATGCTGCCTCGCTTTAATATCATGTATTTTTCAAAAGTGTTCAAATTCTGCTGCTGCTGCGTAAGGCTTTCCCACATGCTTAACAGAAGGTGCTGGGAGAGGAGGGGAGCTTTGGTGTGCATGACAGCTGCCACCTGGAGTGAACTGAAATCAGGAGTTGCTATACCAGGCTCTCGAGCAGAAGGCCACAGAGCTCACATTCAGCAGTCTGGGTGCAAGAAGAGACATGTAGCAAACATTGGGAAGTGGATTACACATCAGACACACATGACAAAGACAAATCCAAATGGGGAATTACTTTTAACGAAAATCTTTGGAGGGCTAATAAGCTTATCTTGATGCTGGTACATCTGTCTCTTCTACTGTGCCAGTCTCTCAAGGACTTAGCTGGAGAATGCCTCTCAGAAGTTGCATGCGATATGACTGATCAGTACTAAACTTTCCTCTCACCCACTTGTCCTGGATGAGGCTATTCCCAAGAGAATGATGACAGCATGGATTTACTTCTCCTTCCCACTGGAATTCTTTCAGAGGAAGGAGGGGCAGAAAACTTGCCAACAGCTTCTCTTTCAGTCTACTTCCCTGCAGTGGAAGCCCTCATGAGGTTGTTGTATTGTAAGCGTTCACAAGTTAAGAGGCGCGTACAAGAAGTGTGAGCTTATTCTTCCACCCTCTGTTCTGCAATAGCAGTTTTAGAAGCTGTCCACATCTTCTATTCACTGGGTAAGCCCAAACCTTCACTGCTAATCTCCACCTATAAACAGAGATGTTTATACGCATGCTACTGGCTAGTGCACTTAGTCACCCATGATTAAGTACGTTGTGCACCACCCTTTAAAACAAAGCACAGATTAAACCAATATAATAGAGCTAGTAGTTCAAAGTGACAACAGAACATTCGTTCTTGCTGATCAACTTTTTGTAAGCACAAATTTAGGCAAGGAAAATACAAGGAAAATGGATACATACCAATGTTCTAATCAATAAAGACTATAAATGTGCTCATAGCTGCATGACTGCTACCTCCAAACACGCTGTAATGTCCAGCATAACCTGTGGCAAAATTGTTCCGCATGAGAAGCCACATGCTATTTTGCCTTTGCACTACGGGCCAACCCCTACTAAATATTCATCCATGGCTTCTCCTGAGCCACCCTGCCCTCCATGACATGTTTACCAAAGGCCAAGTGTAAGTTATGCCCTTACTCAAACGAACTTTCAGTAACCAAAGTTATTGCTTCAGATAGCATGACCCCACAGGCATGAGTGCCTGTACGATTACAACTATTTCATGCCTTATTTGTCTGTTTTCACATATACTTAGAGGTCTGTGTATACAGCTGTAGTCACTGTGTGTGCCTATTCAAGTCCTGGCACTGAAGGCATTATTACTTTGGCTTAAAAATGCACCTCTGTACCAGGATATATGGGGCTGCTCCCATGACAGAGATGATGTTCCTACATGGCTCTCACCTAAAAAAAATTATTCTGACATCATTTGACACTCATACACTCATTGCTCTCCAGCATCTTTCCAGCCTAGGGCCCATGCATTCATCTTACTTCTTACAGAGAGTTGAATTCCATGTAAGCCTTGCCAGTTCCAAGTTAAATAAATGCATACTAGGTCTGGTCTGTAGGCAAACTTTTAAACACTGCTACCCATGACAAAGCACTGAATCCACAGGATGTGTCTGCCTTTGTTAAATGTAAGTGATACCTCACAGAAGAAAAAAAAAGGGCAGAAGCATTTTCTCTACTTTACTTCTCTACTTTTTTCTTTTTTTTCACTTTTTTCTACTTTTTCTTCTCTACTTCTTTTCTCCCTTTTCTCTACTACTAGTTCAGAAAGATTAAAGTGCTTATTCACAGAATGATACACTAGATGAAGGAGTTTCTGGGTTCCTGCTACTGTTTCTCCTCCTTGGAGGAAAAGGGTCCCTTAGAAGTCAAATTCAGCACATCTAGATTATTCAACTGCTCTGAATTTGTTCTCAAGAGAGAATGGGCTCTTCCACTTATATCAAGGAAGCAGGGAAAGATTTTCCTCTTGTGCAGAAAAACAGCTCTTCACAATACTAAACAAAAGAAATGTGAGTAAATTCTCTGGAATACTTTTCCATTTTTAGCAAAGAGATCTGTGGCCTTTAGGTCAAGTGTTGTGTCCCACATCTTGCACACAGCCAGACATCCTACCAGGGACCAGTTCTGGTACCTCGGAGAACAGATCAAATTCACCAAATTGCTTTTCTTTGTTTACATCTATTTTAAGGTCGTCAAGCAAAAATGTTTGGTTTTGAACATACGTTTGTATAGCATGGTCTTGATATATGTATAGTGTAGTGATACACAGCGCTTACGGGTTGTTTTTACCCTTCTCTGAATACCCTTCTTACACTGTTAACTCTCCAGACCTGTCTACTCTTTTCCATCCCTTGGCAGGTGTAGCAGAGGTGATGAAAGGACCTTGTAGGCTATACAGTACTTCAATTTGGCAAAGGAAAGGAAAAAACCTCAAAAAACAAGAGCCTTCTTTCCCTTGATAGATGTCTGGTAGTTAAAGTGATCGATGCAATCTCCAGCATATCTATCATCAATTCGCATTTACAAAAAGACAACACAGAAACAAACAATAGAAACTAAGAGCAAAACTAAGAAGAAAGAAGTGTTTTTTAAGCTTCATTTTTATCAAACTAACAATAACATTTTATACATTGTGGAGTCAAAGTCTGGCTTCTTAGAAGCTCTGTAATTTACTTTCTGGCAGCGAGTACTGAGAAAGAGAAGCCTTTGCTACAGCTGAGAAAATACCTGATCTGTTTTGATGGTCACACACACATGAAAAAAAAAAAAAAGCGAAAGATTGTTTTATCCCCACTAAGAAAACTGAGTGCATTTTTTTGTTTGAAAAGTGAAAACTGAAGTAAGCACACCGAGTGATGTCATTCTAGAGCAAAAAAAAAAGGCGAGTATTTAATTAGAAAAAAGATACAGATAGAATGACAGAATCATTTAGGTTGGAAAAGACCTTTAAGATCATTGAGTCATGAAACATTCACAATTCCTAAATCTTCAGAGAAGATTTCATTAGATGAAAAATAATTGTCAAGTGTTCCAGTAGGTCCAACTTACATACTTTAAAAAACCCCCCATATCTAGTAGTTAAAATATTTTGTCCAGCTCTGATTCTGTCTTGGTGATGACTCTACCACAGTAACCCATATTATATCAAACTTGAATGTGTAGCTCTTTTTGTTCTTTAAAACAATTACGAGCAGGATCTCCAAAGAACTGAAACTAATGCTTTAGTTTAGGGGTGTGGCCGCAGTTTAAGTGGAATTCAAATGACAGCTAGCTTTGAATTAATCTGCTTACCTGATAATAAACTAGATGTCTTCCCTCAAAATACACCATTGTTGGGTACTCCATGGGTATTATTGGAGGGTTAGGGTTTAGAAACTGCGGGCATTCTTCTTCCTGGGGAAAGAAATATTTTGTATGTTATTCCAAATAAAAAGTCTTATCACAACAAGCTCCGATGGCCTTTGGACAATGGAATGATTGTTCTGAAGAACTTCATGCTTAAAATACAGTGACAGATTTGATTACACCCTTTCAAATTAGACATGCTAAAAATGACTGCAGCATATGTCAAAGCTGTGGGTGATTATCTTTCCCAGCCTTGAAATCTTGTTCCTCCCATTGAAGCAAAATAGTAAAAGGAACAAAAATATCCTTTCAGGAGTTATTCAGTCTCACTGCCCCTCCTCAATCACACCCTTAAATTCCCACCCCCGCACTGTCACTAAAAAAACATATCTTACACTTCTGGAGTTAACTTTAGAATCGTTTTTAAATCCCTAATTCAACCAACTGATATGAGAGAAAAAGAAAATAAAATATTGAAGTGCTCTAATAAAAACCTAATAATCTTATTTTTAAACATTACCATGTTTTGTTTAATCACATCCTGTTTTGAAGAGGACTCTTCACAGATATGTCTCTTCCAGTCCCACTGGCAATTCCATCTATTGCTTGCACAGGAATAGCATCTACAAATATAACATGATAGTCATGACAAACTGTCAGGCTTTTTCCCCCATTGACAAAAAAAGTAAATGAAATTCCATCTTTACTCACAGAGGGTAGATCAATCTGTTACAGTGTCCTTACTATATTAAGCTGAAAACTTGATAGTAAGAACAGTTCAAGAAGCCCCAAAAGCTATTTTCTCCTTAAATATTTGAACAAGTATCAGAAATCCACAGCATCTCGCACAAAATTTGAGATCAAGTCTGAGAGGACTGGAAATGATCTCGATCAACTTTCATACATAAGATGGAACAAAGTGGCGTTTGGGTTGGCTGCGCCTGCCCTGGGGCAGCAACATCTCGAGCAGGGCAGATGGTGGGGGCAGAGTCAGTTTTGATTGTCCTATTTGAATGCACTGCAACCCAAAGCACCAATCTAACGTTTGAGGGAACAAGTAAGTTAAGCAGATGTCCACACAGCTCACCTGCAATGGCAATCCAATGAACTGGCCCTTAATTATATGTGCCATGAATATTCCCAGTCCACGTGGTTTATGTTACCAGCTCACCTGGTGCCCTTCAACCGTTTTCCAACTCCATTAAAATGTAAGAAAAAGGATTTGGACACTGGCAGATTTTTAGAGTGCCAAAGGCTTAATTATGAAATGATTGAGTAACTCAGCTGCCAGTTACCTGAAACACCATGCTACAGGATCTAAACACCTAAGTTAAGAAGCTGAGATACTTACGGCTGATTTTCCAAAAGATGCATTGCTTCTTCACAATCATAAAAAGGGTAAGTATGTGATGCAAAAAATACCTTGTTCTCTTCAAAGGTTAACTGAAGTGGAACTGAAACATGATCTATCACAAAAGAAAAAAGAAAATCTAAGTGGTTGCTGAATTCTTTAGCTCTTGAGCTGAACGACACAATGATAATACTTTTATTATTTTACAGGACATAAACAAATATTTAACTATACTGTTGACACTATGGATCTCATGACCTGTTATACTTCAGATCTATAAGCTCTGATTTGTCTTTTTAAGCTTTGCAAATTTTTCAGCACATGGTTGTCGGAAGAAAAGCAGAGATGGGATAAAGGGAAGAAGCAAAATTATAGAATAGCTTTGTTTTACAGAATTGTTTCTCAGCAGTGCTATCATCATGCTAGAATTTTAAAGAGTCTAGAAGAATAAGGAAAACTGAGAAAGGAGATAATTGAACAAAGATAAAACTGGCACGAGAACAGTAATTTTAAGTAAAACATTTTCTTAAATATGAATATGTCTGCATGTAAAATTAGTTGTTCCATTTGTGGATTAAAACTGTCATTGTCATGTGAATTAAACCAAGTGATCTCTGTGGTTAATGCCCAACAATGCCTGCAACACTAAGTTACCACAGGCACTTGTGATCTTCAGTTTGCTGTACATGATTTCTCCACAAACGTACTTTGTCTGGATCATTACTGAACTAAGAGTGGAAAATTTATCTTCAGAAACGGGTGCTTTCCTCAGCGAAGCTGTTTGAAATACCTTTTGGAGAAATCATTAAGCCCTTATGACAAGCTATTTCACAAGCTATTGGGCAATTTCAAACTCTGCTTTCCTTGAAAAGGTTCTTCAAAGAAGCTGCTTGGCTGGAAGTCACCTTTGCCTGCACTGGGTCCCCTTGAATATTTCAGACTGATAGGAATGCCAGGGGATTTCCTAACAACAGGACTGTGAAAAAGCATCCTTCCTCTCTAGAACTGTCCTCTTCCTTTTGGAACCAACCACAACTAAAGTAACCCAGACTTTTCCAAACTCAGTAGGGTTTCTTAACAGCAAGTGGATGGCTCAGGATTTTTTGCCACATGCTGCCAGGAACCACCACCTGTGTTCATAAACGTCTGCCTTCTGCTGAAGTGTCTGCCAAGCTTCTGAGCATCTTTATATTATTTTTGAACATCCTTTCAGATGGATCCCTGTCCAACCAACTCAGACGCATCTTATTTCTGGGTGACTTGGTTACTCTAATGCCATCCGTCACAGGGTTCTAGTCTCACATTTTATGCTGGAAGACATCAAGATGTCATGTTTATCAACCTGGTCACTTTGTCCTGCTTTACAAAATATTTAGGGAATATGAGTTGGCCCTAAGTAACAGAGTGCTGCTTTAACACTTAGCAGTATCTGATACCGTGACACACCCCAGCTAGTTTAAAACTTGAGAGTGAGATTTTAACATCATTACTCTTCCTGCAACTAAAACTGGATTTTGGCCTGTTTCAGCCTTAAGAGAATTGAAACTTACCTTGAAAAGTGCTTCCAAGCACTGCTCTAACTGACAGTTCATGGCTGTTGTGATACATATAAAAGGGTTATCCTCAGGGGTACTGCTGCAAGACCACCTGTTTTTTTGTGGGGGTTTTGTTTCTTTGTTTTTTTAAACTTGATACATAATAAACAGTGCTGCGTAACTAGTTTTATTCCATGTGTTTATGCATCAAGATGTATGAACTTAAAGCACGAATAAAGCACTGTCTAGGAAATAGCACAAGAATTATGGTTGGCAACAGACCTTAAGCATATAATCAGTGGTTCAGAACAATGATACAGTCTTTAATTATACGATCATGTATTTTTCCACCGGACTTACTATTGCAGAAGCTGGAGGGCACATAGTAGAAGAGGCAGAAGGCTTTGTGAGAGAAAGAACACCCTTGTGACATGGACCAGAAAACACGCCACTGAACTACAGCTGACGAGAGCAAAACTAAGACATCAGAGATGAAAAACTTCACATCTGAAGTGCATATGTGGCTCTTCGGGCTCCACAACTTGGAGTGATTAGGGTAAGATCAGAGAAGCTGGGTTTTGTTTGGGACATAGAATAGCACTTCTCTGGCTCCATGTCTATTCCTCTGCCAAGCTCCTGTTTCAGGTTCCTGGTAGGAACACTGGGAATGTTACAGCTTGTAAATACAGCAATGGAAACAGTTTGAGCAAACCTTTTTTTTTTCAAATGTTTGAATGGACAAAGTTCAGCAATAGACTATTTGGGGAAAGGGACTGGAAGAGGAAAAAAAAACTTGAACGCAGCTCATATAAGAGCATCACATTAGAAGCGGCAGGCTATGTTCTTTCCTCTTATTATACATGGAGGGTAGCAGTATTTCTTTACCTTGACCTTTTGGTGTCGGAGGAATTATATCGGGTGGATGACAGATAACTCCTCCTTCTCTTAATTGAGCGTAATGGGTTGTTTCACCAAATGTACACAAAACCTGGTCACTCTCAGTCAAAGCTGGCAATGGACTTACAGTCAGTTCCACCTGGAAACAAAATTTAAAAAGGGTAAAGTATTTGAAAGAAGCGAACCAAGACCCAGTAAGGTTTATGGCCAGAGAATTTCAACTGCTCTTTTTTTTTGGCCAGCAGTGATATTTTGTCTAGTATCACAGAATATCGTTCTCCTTTTCAATTTTTAGTTCTTCCTGTCTGCTAATCTTTTTTTCTTATACCTCTATCAATTTTTCCAGGCTGGGTCGATGTTGAATTAGACTGGTACAAAACCTTCTTGTCCTGTCAACGTAGTAGATCTGAACACAAATGTCTGTACAGACACACCCTAAGCCTTTTATTCTTGTCCTCAGCATCCAGTTTAACAACAGTAAACAGAGTGGTTAACACTTAAATCCTGACAAACTTAATTAAAATTACATTAACTTTAGGTGTTACTAGTGAATAATGAAACCAAGGCTGGATGGGCTGGAAAAGCTGGAGTTTGAAAGGGCTGAACAGAAAAGTGGCTTCCTCAAGACTCAATGTACATGCAAGAAACCCACTGAGATCTATCATTACTGCTGAAAAAGGATTTCTGAAAGAGTGATGGTGAGATCTTCACCTCCTCAAGGAAATTATCAATACAGAGTGCATGTGAGAAACTAAAAGCAAAATAAAATGGGAAAACTTAGCAAGGAAAGAGGAAAAAATTGAAACGAAATTTTGGATGCTGTCCTTGATTTAATGCTAATGTGTTAATTACACAGTGTAACTTTTTCCATTTTGTATTGCCAGTAGAAATGACAATCATCCCTTCTGCACTGAAACCAGTCCACTATGTTATGAGCTGCAATGTTTTTCAGTGAGTAAAGGAATCACGAGGAGACAGCGGCATTAGTGATGGTACGGCCAGCATGTAAATGCTCATCTGAACTTGGGTTTGGTTTTGGTTTTTAGGTATTTTGGCCTCAGGTGCTGATGTGAGACACCAGAGACTTGTCAACACAAGTTGACAAGATCTGAACTCAGAGAAGGTGTGGATTTTAAGCGGACTAGTTGCACTCTACTAACATTTTTATTCAACATAGAAATGGCCTTAACACAATGCTGTTTACATCATTTAGGAATGGAATTAAACTGACTTGAATTAAAGTCTCTTTCTTTCTGATTAAGAGGGATTAAAAGCCATTTTACTGATTTTACTTTCTGAGCACCCCCAGGAAGCCCTCAGTCTGCACTGGCATGCTCCATTTGGAGTTAAAGCAAGCTATGACACACTGGTCACACTCTGAACACTCATTTTTTTGCCACAGAGTCATTTTGTGTGCTGAATTTACCTCCTCCTTGTACCTAGACTTCACTGTGTAGGCAAATCCACTGCTGATTTTAAAGCTTCACTGCTTGCTTAAGTTTATGCTCAAGTAAGCTGAAAGGGCAGCATGAAATCTCTGCTAGCAGTTACTTTTTATGGGTTACACAACATTGTGCAACACTTTCATAATATTCAGATAAGTCGAAGTGCTTTATCATCCATACTAGTGCACCATTTTGACGGCACTGTGAGAAATGCTGGAGACTGATACCCCAAACACTATCCTATTCCTAGTCACCACTGCGCATAAAGAAACGCAGATATTCATCTTCCTGGTAGTCACATCAATGTGCTTTAAGAACATGTAGGGAATGCACTTTCTTGTCATACCTTTTCAGGGGCTCTGCGACTCATATTTAGAGGGTCTGCGCTAATGATAGTCATACATGTGCCACTTGGACTCCACAGCCAGTGGTTCTCCTTATCAGCTGTTCCACAATCTGCCTTCTTTGTGCACCTGACAAAACAGGAACAAAAACCAAAGCAAAGCAATATTACAGCTGGACTCTGCTTTCTCTGAACTGCACAACACTTTCAGCATTAGAGACTGAAATTACAACACAAGATGACTGGGAATTTCCTTTAATTTTGACTATTCAGGTTGCTAATAGATGACTTTTAATAGAGTAAGTGGAGGAATAAGTATTGATGGTTTGAGCTGTCAAAAGCAAGTGGGGAAACATATACCTATAATATTTTGGACACCACCTTGAATTAGACAACCCAAATCCATACAGAGGCAGTAATATTTAGCACAGGAGCCATCAGGCAATGGAGCCATTGCCTTATCATCTGAAACCAGGCTGATTAATCTTCATTGTAATACATAACAAACTCCTGAATGAGTGGGCACAGTCTAGCTTTTCTGCAGGTCAAGTGGCAGACAGCGATGTGTTGCCAGTAAAAAGACACCCGATGCATGACAGTACAAATGCAATAGAGGAGTATTGCTGGAGGCACACAGGCTTGCAGAGAGCTCCTGTGAAACTGTAACACTAGAAATGTTCCTTTTGTAGTGATCGTTCTCATTAACTCCTGCCACTATTTAAGACGTCTCTCTGCCAGGGCACCGCCACCATTGTGGTAAGACAACAGCAGATGTGCAGCCTCACCAAAAATATTGGGAGATTTTCCCAACTCGCGTACAAGAAGGACAGAAAGAAGAGATGCTGCAGTGCAGAAGCTGCATATGTGGCGATAAAAGCTTGTCAAAGTGTGTGTGTGTCGGGACAGTCTCATGTGTATTCTTTTCATTCTGTGCAAAGTTTAGGAGAAAATGCTGTAGGATCTCTGTCTGCTGTAGCAGACTATTAACTTGTCAGGAGCTTTAGCACAGTGCAGTTGCTGCACAGTTCTGTCAACCCTACCCTTAAAGATATTATTTACAAACAGAGTCTACATTCATATAACATATCCCTAAACACACTATTAAGTGCTGTGTGTGATGATGTGGCAGAACTCGCTGCAGATGAGAAGAACATTAGAAATTAAACACTTTCTTTCCCTCACTGGAAATAAATACTAGCAAATGCAAAAATTCATGTTTGCCTGTTCTCAGAGACCACTAATACTTTGAGATATTGAGGTCAGTGGTCGTATCAGAAACCTGAAGGGAAATCTAAGGAAAATTGCGTTTTGTATGATATATGATGTGGCCTTCAACTCCCAGCAGCCCAGGAGGAGTTTGAGGTGTATATTCCAAATCCCCAGGTTTCATCCACAGCAACTGAAACCCAGACTGGAAGAGTTACAGTATATTACATAAACCTGCACACACTGCATAAGTTTCTCTGCAGTGCTCTATATTATGCTACACATCAGGCTGATAGGTAACTTAATGTGATAGTTCACATTTTCAGACAGGAAGCTAGAAGCCTGAAATTCATCTGCATACTATAATTAAATAGCCCCTTTGTTCCAACAGCAAGTACTTAGAATCACGAATTCCCAACTGCTCATGCCAAGGGGTTAATTAACTTAGTAGTCAAAAAGAGAGCTGCAGGACCCCTCTTCCCTCTCACCACTCCAATCAATGAAGAGTGCAAGGAAGAGACATTCTAGAGCTGTTCAGTGCTGTCCTAATTTACAGGTGTCTGAATATTAATTCAGTTAACCTCTGCAGATAGTCAGCCAACTGCCACTTTCTGCTCTTCCACAGTTGGGTGAGGGTTCAGTGTAGCTACATGCCTTGATAGATGATGTTTCTACAAAAACAGCATGTGAGCTATATACTTTATTTCAGACGTGATCAGTTTTTTCTTTTATGCTCTGTTTTACACTTTCCTGCTCTATTTAAAATATATCCTATATTTTCTGAATTTTAAATAGGGAGCACTCTTTTAATTTCTGTGAGAACATTTGACTGTACAGTTCAGAGAATGGCAATACATGCAGTTAGAAGATGTATACTGATTTTCAGTACCAGCAGAAAAGTATACATTTTCCCAAACTAATCAAATCTGCAGAAGTCAATGGGGTCTTATTTGTGTGCACAGAAGATTGATATCGATGTCTGCATGATAAAATTAAATCGCTATCAGGAGCGTAAGGCTGAGAACAAAAAGCTGGGATTGCTATGCCAAGCAGTAACCCAGAGCACGCATCAAAATTTGAGCTCTTCCACGGCCTGCACCTGAGAAAACACCAGTGGCACTCACCTGCCCTCTCTCACACACCAGCCGCAGTACGGATCCCTTGCTTGAGTACACTTCTCACAGTCCGAATACTTGTGGCAGTCCTGCACAGGTAGCCGATGCACCTGAAGAACCAAAAGTAAGGCAAACCGTAAAGGATCTGAAGAAGGCACAAGGAGATGGGAATGTTTGTGGACAGGATCGTACAGCGCCATTGCCTGTGGCAGCAGAATACTTGACCCAGTATTATTATGATCAGAGCTCAGTTTAAGAAAATCTGTACAATACTGGAGTGTGGTTACCCCCCTTAACAAAGTCCAAATTTACACACTTTTCCTGCTCTTTTTCTCTCCAATAGTCTCTAATCTCTCTCCAAAGTAATGCAGGACATTGTTATAATCAAGAATCATGAGCAAGTCTCCAAAAATTGAGCTTTTCAGTCCCACCAGTTACGTTACTTCTGGAAATCCGCAATCCACTGCAGAACAGCAACTGCATGAACCACTCTCCGAATTCAAGAAACAGCTACTGCAGGACAGATACTTTTGAAAGGCTAACTTGGTACTGGCTAGATCATTTTTTTAAACAGAATATCCTCCCCTCCGTATTGCTGACATGGAGATGAAATCGTTTGGAAACATGACCGTCAGTGGCACTTTTAGCCAGAAGGCATCTCGGAAAGTTTGCAAGTATGAAAGAGCCAAGGCACTTTGCGTTACTGTACTTCTCCATGCATAACCCTCCACCATGCAATACATTCACCAAAGAAAATGGAAATAATTATGAATATAAGCAGCAGGGAAAAGAGCATCATCAGTTCTCATGTCTCAGTCTCCCAGTAAATATACAGCTTGTGGTTTTGATTTCCTTTGGTGCTGAGAATAAATAATTTTGTCTGTCTTCGGTGCACAGAAAAGGGAGCCAGCACAAAACCATCCCTTTTAGTTATGCTGCTGAAATGATACAAGAGGAGAACGGGACATACGTCTTCCTGTCGATGACTATGTTTTACTTTTAAAGAGCACAAAATTCTAGCAACAGTAACTCTGAGATGCAAGCTTTCTTTTTTCTACCTTATCCTCTCACTTAAAACAAGTGGCACTCACATATCTACTTCGAAAGTCTGAGTTTGGCCTTTTCTTTCACATTCGGAGAGGTCAGTCTGACTCAGTTAAGGAAAATGTCAATATTGGGTAGTTTTCTTGCATTTATTAATACAGAGGTTTACCTTTTCAGCATTCTCTTCTTCCACAGATTCTTACCTAACTGGACATGAGTTACTGGCACTCTGTTTCACTAACTGGTACCCATGAGTAATTTAATATCCAGCGAATGGGTTTTTTATGACAAAGTATTTATTTCATAATTCTGGTGGGCAGAAACAAGCCCTAGAGATTGCCGTCTCTGCAAGTTTTATGTAAACTTAATGGATTTTAAAAAAAAATAGTAGCTCCGTTTACAGCCAGCTTCAAAATGCAGAGAAACTGATTTTAGAGATTTTCTCATTGGCACTCTTACTCAAAGAGGGTGGTAAAAGCTAAAACAAGCAAAGAAGCTAGTGATGGTGGTAAGTGATGGCCACAGGCTTCTGCTTTCCTCCCAGTATTCCTTCCAATAAGGGATCTGGGATCCTACCAGTGATGTTCACTTGCAATGAATGAGTGTGAGCATGGCAGGGGTGGGTACGCTCCTTTCCAAGTCCCCCAAGAAGCTGCAAGGGGTTTCTCCTGCTCTCTGCCCAAGCTCTGGTTGCAGAGCGGGGAGGAGGGGGCTGACTTTTGAAAGCATTTGCTCCAAGCCACCCACTGCTATTGACACAGCAGCAGAAGCTGGGAGGAGAAGGGGGAGGAGAAGTGAAACTGGAAAGCAAGACCTTATTTCTGACGATGGCTCTTAACCTCTCCATCGTTCTTCCCTGTATTTCTCTCAATCTGATTTCTTTTTAAAGGCTGCTTCAAGTTATCACCCACCACATCATCACTTTCACTTTGCTCAAGTGCTTACAGAGCCCAAGCAATTAATTTCAAATGCTGAGGCAGGCTGCATGTGCCAGGTAGCTTAGCATTAAGCACGCCTATCAGTGCAGCTAGCCTGCCCTTTATTGTTTACCTTATTTTAAATAACTCTAAACCATTTTAACTCCCAGGGCAGGGTTCTGATAACTCTATTCCCACAACTCCCAGACGTGCTTAACCCAGAAGTGCGTGTTTCAGCATTTATTCTTCTCCCCTCGCTTACGTTGCTTCCTTTCTCCCAGCTCCGAAGGCCTCCATTCTCCTCCTGTCTATCTGCTTCTAAAAGTGGGTGGGACTGCTCATTGTAATTAACTCCTGGAGATGACAGTAATGTAATGCCATTACAGAGCTCCCAACTTTAGTTATTCATATTTGAACTGAACAGGTTTTGTAAAAGAAAACTATTATTCGCATTATTCAGAAACCGCAGTGTCTGTGAGAGCTATCTGGAAAAGATTAAACTGAAATCCTTTCTTATGCAGACATTCGCTGCTTTCTAAATTTAAACATTTTGTAGAGATGGAATTATTTATTTGCAAATTTTCTCTAAAAAATTTGTCTGTGGCCTTCCTAAATTCTACCAGTTCAAGCACACTATCACCAGAAAACTTGTCTTCCTTCAAGGTTGCTGCCACCCTTTACACTGCTCAGCAGCTCATGCCACAGCCTGGTGGAGACCTCAGGGCTTTTAAACAACGTGCCAGCTTGTTCAACAGGGTGCCAGAATGCCCAAGCTTTTGTGGACAATGCTGAAGTTTGGAGTTCGGTTCCAAATCTGAACAGAAGCCAAATAAGAAGTATCAACTACTACTACAAAAAAATGAGGTAACCTCTCTCACACACTGTCATATTATTAAATGCTTTATCAGTCACCTATCTTGCACTTTTTCCAATGTGGCTTCTAGCCTGAAAACCTTCAGCTAGAATATAACATTTCGACAACAGGAATTTCTATTAATCCTTTTATAAAACAGACAAAGAACATGCCTCTTGCACTGTTTTCCCCAAATACTCTCCTTTCACAGCCCCCCTCATTCTCCCCATGTTACTGCTGCGGGATTGTTTCGCATGTCCTATTGTTTCACATAGTTTGTGTCACTATCAGTGCTGCAGATGGTGGCAGCCTGTCACCCACCCCATCCTGGAGAGCCACTGAACCACGCGTTTGAGGCTGGCAGCTCCGGCCACCACAAAGAGAAGTGTTAGAAGAGGGTTACAGCTGGAGGTGAAGGAGAAATCTGGCATCCCTCTTGTCTCCTACTTGCTTTTTTTTCTTCCTTTCTTTACAAACCTCCATTGTGCCTCACCTGCCAGCACAGAGAAGGGGAACCTAGAAGAGACTGCCTGTGCCTTTCGTAGCAAAGTCTGACCTCTCCTGCTACACTTGCTTGGTTCTAGCAGAAGCTCAAACAAAAGTGTTTCCCAAAGATGTTCTCTCCATTGCTTCTTAGTTTTTGACAGAAAGACCCACTAAAACTCCTGGTGGCTTTACGGGCGTCAAAATGCTTTTATGTCAGCTGCCAGCATCCTAAATCCTGAAGTACTCTTGAAAAGGACCGATGGCAGCTAGAGCATCCACCGGTACCCCATGGACACCACACCACATGCTAGGGCTGCCTGACCCCATGGCGTGCTGGTGCAAACATCTCAACTTCATCCTTCTCACACACCCCATAAGAGAGCTTTAGAGGTGAACGCACTTCCATTCCCAATCACTAAGCATCAAGGATATAACAGTTCTCCAAGTCACAACAATCAAGTCCATCAGCTTCGACTTGAGAAAGGTCTTCACATACACAGAGTGGGGAGGAGCCCCACCAAATGGGACAACTCCCAGGAACAACAGAGAAACGTACAAATCTCAGGTAAAGTTGCAGAAAAAGTGAAAGCGGACCTGGTCCTTAATGCACGCAGGACATGTTACCTTGTCTGTGGTCATCACGTAGAGATTTTGTTGGGTTTGGTCAAGGACCAGGTCATTCTTTATGGGTTTGTTTCGTTCAATAGTAAGAGAGCTGTACTCAGTTGCAGCGGATGACAGGAACACCTATTTCATGGAAGAAAGAAAGGTGGTTAATGTTGCTTTTTTTCCCCCAAATATCATTATACCTGGCTGCTAACAAAAAAGACAATTAAAAATGTTTCTATAAATACATTAACAACAAAAGGAGGGCTAAGGAGAATCTCCACCCTTTACTGGATGCAGGGGAAAACCCAGTGACACAGGATAAGGAAAAGGCTGAGGTACTTAATGCCTTCTTTGCCTCAGTCTTTAACAGTCAGACCAGTTGTTCTCAGGGTACCCAGCCCCCTGAGCTGGAAGACAGGGACAGGGAGTGGAATGAAGCCCCCATAATCCCAGGGGAAATGGTTAGCAACCTGCTATACTACTTCGACACACACAAGTCTATGGGGCCAGATGGGACCCACCCAAGGGTACTGAGGGAGCTGGCGGAAGTGCTCACCAAGCCACTTTCAATCCTTTATCAGCACTCCTGGCTAATCAGGGAGGTCCCAGGTGACTGGAGGTTAGCAAATGTGATGCCCATCTACAAGAAGGGCCGGAAGGAGGATCTGGTGAACTACAGATCTGTCAGTCTGACCTCGGTGCTGGGGAAGGTCATGGAGCAGATCATCCTGAGTGCCACCACACGGCACATACAGGACAACCAGGCGATCATGCCTAGTCAGCGTGGGTTTATGAAAGGCAGGTCCTGCTTGACCAACCTGATCTCCTTCTATGACAAGGTGACCTGCCCAGTGGATGAAGGAAAGGCTGTGGATGTTGTCCATCTCAACTTTAGTAAAGCCTTTGACACCATCTCCCACAGCATTCTCCTGGAGAAACTGGCTGCTTATGGGTTGGATGGGCATACTTTTTGCTGGGTAAAAAACTGGCTGGATGGCTGGGCCCAAAGAGTTGTGGTGAACAGAGTTAAATCCAGTTGGCAGCCAGTCACAAGTGCTGTTCCCCAGGGCTCAATACTGGGGCCAGTTCTGTTTACTATCTTTATCAATGATCTTGACAAGGGGATTGAGTGCACCCTCAGTAAGTTTGCAGATAACATCAAGTTGGGCAGGAGTGTTGATCTGCTTGAGGGTAGAAAGGATCTACAGAGGGATCTGGACAGGCTGGATCGATAAGCTGAGGCCAACTGTATGAGGTTCAACAACGCTGAGTGCTGCCAGGTCCTGCACCTGGGTCACAACAACCCCATGCAACGCTACAGGCCTGGGGAGGAGTGGCTGGAAAGCTGCCTGGCCGAAAAGGACCTGGGGGTGTTGGTCGACAGCCAGCTGAACATGAGCCAGCAGTGTGCCCAGGTGGCCAAGAAGGCCAACAGCATCCTGGGCTTGTATCAGGAATAGCATGGTCAGCAGGACTAAGGAAGTGATTGTCCCCCTGTACTCGGTGCTGGTGAGGCTGCACCTCAAACTCTGTTCAGTTTTGGGCCCCTCAGTACAAGAAAGACATTGAGGTGCTGGAGTGTGTCCAAAGGGCAACGAAGCTGGTGAAGGGTCTAGAGCATAAGTCTTATGAGGAGCGGCTGAGGGAACTGGGGTTGTTTAGCCTGGAGAAGAGGAGGCTGAGGGGAGACCTTATCGCTCTCTACAACTACCTGAAAGGAGGTTGTAGCGAGGTGGGTGTTGGTCTCTTTTCCGAAGTAACAAGTGATAGGATGAGAGGAAATGGCCTCAAGTTGCACCAGGGGAGGTTTAGATATTAGGAAAAATTTCTTCACTGAAGGGGTTGTCAAGCACTGGAATAGGCTGCCCAGGGAAGTGGTTGAATCACCATGCCTGGAGGTATTTAAAATATGCGTAGGACTTAAGGACATGGTTTAGTGGTGGACTTGGCAGTGTTAGGTTAATGGTTGGACTAGATGATCTTAAAGGTCTTTTCCAACCTAAATGATTCTATGATTCTATGACTAATGAAAATCCTGTTTCCTCGAGTTCACAAATTCATGTTAGGGAAAACATTGCAATTTGCAATATATGGCATTAAAAGCAGCAAGCAAAACATAGAACTCATTAAAAGAAATTGCTCACTGCTCACAATAGCTAATATTTGTATCTTTTTTTGTAAATACCTATTTATTTTAGTGCTGTAAAATTAAAATTTTCAGCGCAGAGTCTTTGCATTTGAAGGTGTTCAAATTTGTTGTCTTTCCTTATGGTAACCAACAGCTTCAGCTTCAAATCTCAAACCATGTAGTGGTACATGGCCATCGCTCCCCTTTCAAGCAAAAGAAGGTGTTTGGTGTTGCAGTCTTGACATTTTAACACCACAAACACGTGAACTCTTGAGCCCTACAGGACACACTCAGAACTTAGCAGAGCTCCAGCTTAGGCTTTGTATTGCCATCTCTATTCACTGAATGGCCAGAATGATTACAAAATGAGAAGCTGCTCTTAAACTACTATGGGCTTGAATAGAGATAAGGCTAGAGCAGCTGTTAGATTACCTAAGGCTGTTTATACAGGGCTCTCAGTAGGTATCTAATCCTTCGGGAAAAGTGTCATTCAGGCAATGCTAATTCAACCTGTGTACTGGATACCTGAGGTACATCAGAAATATGTGGTTTTTCTCTGAAATTAAAAATACCAAGCTCCAAGAGAATTTGCTCCTGGTATGCGATCTTATAAATCCCATTTACTTTTAGAGTGGAAGTACGCTATCTCTACAGTTTGCGACCTTTTATATACGTTTGTCTTTTAAGTCAGATTTGTTACCTTAAGAATTTTACCATCTGATGTTCCCAGAAAGGCCACGGTATGCCCATTCTCCACAGCCACAGTGACGGCTGTCAGATTCATGCCTTCTTTTTGTAGTACCGGCTTCTCTATAACACCGTTCTTACTTCCCAAAAGGTACGGCAAGTGTTCGGAGCCACAGGGGAAATTTTTGCTTGCATTCTAATAAGGAATAGCAATACAGAGCGATGTTAAACATTCAGATCACTAATTCCCAGCTAAGAATGAAGTGCAACCCTATTACCAGACAGTATAATACCCCTCAGACATAGAGGAGCGGAGAGTAATGGATTGTCTGACCATTTTCCCCCAGCCAACAGGCAGCAATCAGAAAGCAGCCTGCTAATTGCAAACTGCTTCAATGCTTTCACTTTCCAGGAGACATGGGGGGAGAAAATTTTTTGTTTCTCTTTCATTATAGCAGCACAGTTTAAAAAGTAACCAGTTTGTTTAATTAACATGAACGTGTCATACGGATTGGGTTGACGAATTCTGTGTTGAAGACTGTTTTTTTAATGCTGTTTTGTTTGTTAATTTCCTGCTATGCATAGAAAAGCAACCCACTGGCAACTGTCTCATGAACTTCAACACATTCCTTCTTCACTACGCTTTAATCCTGAGCTGCAGGGAGAGCCACCAGAAGGAAGTTCATTCACACCCTGCCTTTCCTGCTATATTTAGTAATTAGACTGTCTTTCTGATCTCAGATCCACACCTCTTTTTTGCTGGATGCCATGGCCACTCCACTTGTCACATTCAGGATTTCTATGTTTGATGCTCACCTCAGATGCAGGGTACTGCAGTGACTAATGCTGGTGTTGGAAGCAAAGAGTGTTCTTTTGGCTTCTTATCAGTGCTAGCAACCAGCTGTGTGGGAGAGGGCTGTGATTTCATGAGGTGAAGGATTCTGGGTCAATACCAATGTAAGGTATTCCCATGTCCCATCTCTTCAGCTGTTCATTCCTACCCCTGGACCACAGCGCACCACTTCTCAAGCTGTGCTCAAAACACCTGCTTAGGCAAGTGTGTAACTTGCTCAGGTTGGAGAATTAAGACATCCTCCTAAAAGGTGGCTGAGTTATTTTTAAGATGATTCAATTCCTCAACCCAGTTCAGGATTGGTTGCAGTAACGAATGGCATGCACAAGTAGGACTTGGGAATAGGTTGCGTGGTGTGGGCAAAAACATCATAAAGTCAACAGAGATGCTGAAAACTGCCTCTCAGAGGTTCAGTCATAAATTGAAGAACAATATCTGGAGGGGTGTAATAGTGCCCTCCAAAAACCTTACAGCCAAGGTTATATCCAAAAGAAAGATGGCCATCATGCTATGGAAATATTTTGAGCCAGAGCAAAATACGAACGCCACCTGAATATAAGAAACAAGCATATTTCCAGTTATCTGAAAATTCAAATCCAAGTGAGAAACAATACTGAACTCCATATATCACCTACAAGATTCTTAATACCATTTAAAAACATTACGAGTATGTTTGCTGAGACCAGAATTGTCTACAGTGATCATCTGGAAGCTGATCATGGGCGTAACAAATCACTGCCTTTGACTCAGTAATTTCCATACCATGAGGAACCCCTTAAAAGAAATGCATTTAGGAAACAAATATTCATCTTTCAGAAGACATCAAATCTTTTTTAAAAGACTTAAAATTATGACTCTCCTGCCACTTCTTGCTTGACCTGTTCCGTAACCCCCCCAACCACATTCCATTTCTATAGTGAATCCAGCTATTGAGTTTTCAGTCATCTGATCCCACTATAGTTTAATTCAAGTCCCCCCAAAACCACGCAGTTGTATATTTTCCAGTAATTCTAACACAGATTCTAAAACATCAGTTTTAGAACTGATATTACCAGTCCATGTGATGCACACGGGTTTTCTGTTGCAAAAAGTTTGTAAAATGAGCTGGTATTCTTTTTAGTGTAGCAATCGTTCCGGTTTTTTTCCATCTTTTCATTGATGTGCCGCAAGGAAAACACACACATGGCAGATTTTAGAGAGCCATTATCTTTGTTTACTTTGCTGAAGAGTGCAAGAAGAACTTTGTCATCTGAGAGAGCATCCGTAGTTTGTCTCTGCTGAGCCATGCTCTGAGCCAGCTCTTCTCCTGGGGTAGTGACATAAGCAGAATGACAGTGGTCATAGGCACCATCATCATCTTTGCAACCCAAGTCCATTTCAAAGTAGGAATAATAATGGGCATCATCTTTGCACAGACGTGCAATCAGTGTGCGGTTATTGACAGACTGTTTCTCTTGCTGATTAAAAATAAAATAAACATAATTTTTATCCTCAAAGACTGCCACAAATTGTTGTGTGCTTGACGAGTGATAAGCTGACTTAACAGCTGCTGAGTCTGTATACATTTCAAAAAAGTCTTTTCCATCCCTTTGGTAGAGCTGCCGAGTGCTGATTATTATCCCATTATCATTTGGTCCATTCCCTTTGCCAACAAACAGCACTCGGTCGTTATTCAAGGAAGTGATCAGTCCCACAGTTGATACATTCTCATCGTTGCTTGCTACAAAGGACTTTTCTCCGCTACTGTCTACATAATGCGTCACTTTGCTAATGTTTTCTAGATCTCTGATGGCACAGATTCCCTTAAAAAGGCTTCCACACACTACAATTGCTTGATCCGCCTTGTTCAGCAACAGTAATTTGTTATAATTGTCAGTCAGTACTGCCTCTTTACATTGGTTTTCATCAATGGGAGGTGTGCACTTTTTGTTGTCCTTTTTTGGACCTGTTTCTACAGACCTTATTACGTCCAGGTTTTCTGTAAGCTGATACAGAGCATTTACCACTCCCAGATAAATTGTCCCAGTGTCATTATCCACTGTTAGGTGATTTAGCTCTGTAGCACTCTGAAAAAATTTCAGTTCCTCATTTCTGGATAAGGTGATGCAAAAACAGCTCAAAATGCTCAGTGTCCAGATCCATAAAGCCATTTCTATGCAATACCTAAAAAGGGAAAGAAGAGCAACATGAAACATACTGAAAAATAAAATTTACACAAAATTCAGCAACATGAAGGGTTCTTTCCTTCATGATTTCAGACCCAAATATACTTATCCTTATGCATGCGCAGACACCATGAAGATTATGGAAAGCCTCAAACCCTGTTAATTGCCTAGCAATTTAATATGTTGGGGGAGGATTAAACAAGGCCATATGTCTAATTGATTATCATATAACCAATTAGATAATCAATCCTATGCTAAAGCACAATGAGAACAACAGGAAATTTGAAACAATGTAGAGTGCCAAGAAGTGGCAGTGCTTCTCCAGACAGTTTCATACTGTGTGAATTATTTATTGTTGAGATTTTAAAATAAGCTGGAAGATTGCAGTGTTTCAGGTGGCTCTTCCTTAATAGAGGGGAAGAATTCACATAAAAGTGTTTGAGACGACATTTGGTGTTGCAGGACTTTCCTCAGAAAGGAAAAAAGCGTTCCATTGACTACAAGTAAGTCTGGATCTGGCTGCTGATGCTCTTCGAGAAGGGGTTACGCTAATCCTTCATCAGTGTAAAGCTGGAAGACAGCAGAGCCCTTAATATGCAACATTGCCTTTGACTGCCGGTGTGCATTACAGTCCAACACTTCAATTCACTTGAGCACTGCAACTTAATAGTTTCAAATCTGTCTTAAGAACATCACTTAAGAGATTTATGGGCTTAAGATTCTGTTACTGGGGTTTTTTCCCACAATTTTTACTTCCCAAGCAGATCATCTGGCTGTTTAGAATTAGACAAAGATCTTCTGAAACTTATAAGAAGGGCTCTAATTTTAACCTGAAGAGTTAAATGAGGAAGCAAGTCCCAATTGGCTTCCTAAGCAGAAAACATTTTGTCAATGTTTTCTGCAAGTGTGTAGTTCTGAGAGCAGAAAACAGAAGGTGGCATGCTTGGACACACCGATGTTAGGGGGAAAAGATAAATACTCTTCGGAGGAAGTGCTGAAAAACAAATATGATCCACAGTATTTTAATTTTCCAAGTTAGCCATGTGACTCCATAGTCTGATGAGGAAAGAACCTGTAACCTTACAGGGAATCTCAAGTTAAATCTGAAAATATCTGGAACTGTGAATAAAAAGGAAAAAATAAAAACCCAGAAAAGAGAAGAGAAACATTTAACAAAGTAATCTAACAGGCGAAAACCTTGTAGGAGGAGGAGAATAGCACAGAATGCCAAAACGAGGATCGGAAAAAATAAAAGAAAAATAATAAAAATAATAATAAAGGAACCATGCTCCTGTGTCAGATATAACTTCTGTTTTGGCAGCAGCAATAGACTTTGGTGGGATGTGAAAGAGAATTGCCTGAATCATCATTTATACTGGATAATTAAGGTTAAACGTCAACAACTGGGCTGCAAAAGTTTGAGCAGGGACAGAAGGACTCTCGTGAGCACAAGCCATCTGCCAGCTCCCCAGACCATCCCAGCATCGCCAGCAATGCAGAAAGACAACTCCTGCCCTCCAGCATTGACTGCATTTTGCTCCTCTATGGAGAAGACGTGTGTGCAATGGTGAGAACAGCTTTTCTAAAAGCAGAGTGATTCTAACTTCTAAAAAAACAAAAACCTACTAAATGTAACTCAGGGTAATAATGAAGGCAAAATAAAAGGCTAACTTCAATCTTGTTTTGCTAAAGCTCTTATCATGTACCAAACTGAGTAGCTAACTGTAAAATGAGGTCAAAGAAGAGACAGTACATTACCAACAGCACAAGCCTGACTTCTAATGATAGGTTGACCTCATATGACAGTGACCAAGAAAAGGCTAAGAATTATAACCCATTCGTCAGACACATGGACTTCGGCACATGCCTTGCAATGTAATGAAGTGTTGGACCTCTCTACAACAACCTTAGACCTCTTCTGAGGAACCCAGAAGAATTCTGACATTACTTGTTAGAAACTCCTCCTTTCTTCCTGCTCCCGAGGACCTCAATTTTCCAAAAAAGCTTTGATCCCAGCTTACACCTCTGTCGCTAAATGGTATGTTATAATGCATGTTATCTAGTTTCAAATATTTTCCCTTACAGTTATCTGCAATGAAATAGAAAAACAGGTTGACATACTACTGCAATGTTGTTTCATAAAAGTTTTATCATTCTACTATCTATTGCACAAGGATCAAATGCCAAGGAATTCAGATTCATCGTTCCTGTTTTTCCCACAACGTAATTATTGTTAGATTACAATCATCTCTGCTCTCAGTCAAAAAAAAAGCCATAAATAGCTATACTTAGAAAATATGCCTCAAATGAATGGAAAGTAATTTATTGTACCTTAATTTCTGTACTTGGTTCACCTCCATGTCCATTTATTTCAGTGGATCAATAAAATATTTTGTCCATTTGTGGCACCCAGCTTAATGACACGGAGGCTACACTTGCAATACACCTGCCTTCATCCCACAGGCAGAACAAAGAGTTTTGCTGGTTCATGCCAGAGCCAAGATTTAAGGAAAAGTACATTTTGCACCCCTAAAGCAGACTCTAACAGGAGTAATCTCTCTGTACAAAAATGGGTAATGCTTCCTCCCTACTGATTCGCTGCCTTGTTTGCTTACCAATTTTTGACTTGAATTATTCAGAACTACATGCATTCTCCATTAATTCTGCCTTTTTTTTTATGCAAGGTAACAGTTCTTCATTCTCTGTACCTATTTGTTTCATTCCCCCCTGCCCCGCCCAAAGCAAACAGTAAAGAAATTTAGATATGCTATGGAAAAGATCCAGAACTAAATTCCCACGCAATTCTCAAATACCAGGCTTAAGGAAAGAAAAAAGCAAACAAAACGAAATGAGATGCACTATAACCACAGCTCATTCTCACCTGATCTTAACTTAATCGGGAAGTAGCAGCTGGAGGAAACCTGCTATGACCAGCTGATGTGGTAGGACCTACAGGGCTGCTATTAACACAGACGCCCTAGTGAGTTAGGTGCTATGGAAATGTATCAAGGAACAGTTTCCTGCTGTGAAAAACCTCAGTTTTAAATGAACAAGTCATGGAAACACAAGAGAAAATGAATAAGAAGCCCAGGCTGGAGCATGGAATGCGAGGTGTTCAGCATGGCAAATGTATTTCTAATGGCTTAATCACATACTTTAATTACACATGGGCATGTGTGGCTTACTCAAAGTCACGCCCCAGTACTGAGAGCTGACATACACCCTCTGACCTCAGTTTGCACTTAGTTTTAAGCCCTTGGCACACTGAAGATGAAAGAAGCCCAACAGAGCAGTTGACCACATCATTTTTTTCTCTCTCAAACTCTTGTCTTCATCCTGCCTCTTGCTTCCCACACCCCATGATATCATTAGAATCATCTTTATCACTCTCCCATCAAGATTACCTGAATTGCAAAGTTATTTCCTTTTTGGATTCCTCCCTTTTTCATCATTGCCTTCCCTATCCCTTCCCCCGTCTCAAAACATACTCCTCTTCTGATTTACGTACCTTAGAAACAACTGAACGTGATTTTGATGAGTATCCTAGAAGGATGGCAGTAATAATAAACACACTCCCAAAGCAGGAAAAAATTACTATAAAAAGGTGTGTGTTAATTAAAAAGAAAGTGTGGATAACATACGCCCAGTCTCTTGGAGACACGACAGGCGACAAGGAAAGCGGGATGGCAGCGACCAAGCACTTTAAAAGAAACCCACTGAAGAAAGCATCTTGCCGCTTACAAGAAATATGAAACTCTAGAAGTTATGTGCAGAAAATGCACAGCACCCAGGAGAACACTTCATACATGGGAACTGCCATAAAGTGACACTGTGCTGCAATGACACAGCTACCAGAGTTCTGTCCCACTGCTAGATCAATTTTAAGTACCCATAACTTTATGTCTTTCTACTCAAGCAAGTCCCATAACCTTAAGTAACAGTCAATTTTTCAAAAGGCACGCAGAAGAAAAGAGCATCTATAATCTACAAGCACAAAGTGAGTTTCAAATTGACTTCAGACTATTATAAATACCTTCAAGAATTAGCACTAGCAACATGCTGACATGGATGTGGCAAGTGTTTTCCTCCTTCACTGCACAATCCTCTGCTGTACCTCTATAAGGGAACCTTCAACTTTTCAGCCATCGCCAGTCACTTTTCTTTAGCCTTCAATATAACTTTAGCTTTATGTTACTTAATTTCCTGCATTCATTTCAGCTGAAGCGAAAGAATACCAAATTTTGCCTGAAATCGGAATAACTGAGAACTAAAACAAAAGTTATTCCTAAAATGATGGACAAAAAAGTCTTCAGCAAAAGAATAATCTCACCAGTTTAGCTTCTGTGGTGTTTTTGCAGAGTCGTTCTTCACTAACCATATATATACACTGAACTAAATTCTGTTACGTCATCTCATCCAGACAAAGTTCTGTTACTTGAAATTCTGGGTCTAGAGACAAACGCTTCTGCCAAGAGAGGCATATACTGATATGCTTTAATGGTATGCAATGCAGAGTACTGTGGTTCTCCCTGCACACTTTCCCCTAATCAGGAAGACCCCAAAAGATCAGAAAGACCCTAAAATTGGGAAAAAATTGGTAAAAAGACCCCAAAATTGCAACATAAAAAAGGTAAAAGTCCAAAGAATGCACCCAAATGGTGTAGATATTTGGGGAAAGAGGAATGGAAAGAAATTTATCTTCCCCCTAATTTTGAGTAACTTTGCTTTTAGTTTCCAATAGGTTTTCCACAAGTCCAAAAGAATTCAGCTTTCCTTTTTAAGCTCAAAGGAATTCAGAACAGAAACTAGAGAATGCGTGTGAGGCAGGGGATGAGCAGATTTTCAATTTGGATTTCAAAGCTTCTACTTCTGTAAGAACTGTAGGTAAACATAAGCACTCTCCTCCCCAGCTACCGCTTTTATTACTATTGCCTAAAACCAATGAACGATGGAGCTCGCTGGTTCAGTGAAGGAATCACCTGGAA